GACCTTGTTGCCTGATGGAGGGTTCACCCAAGACCAATATGCTTTAGTGTCCATTTCCTGCCAATACTCACACCATATACAAAATATTGAGCTACACTAAGCACCTTGCATTTCACTGATTCTTGTTTCTCAGAGTTCTCTTTATTACCATCGTCTTCATACAGCACTGGAGGAACATGTGCAGGCTATCTGGAATGCAAGCAGACATCATCCTCACTGACCCTGAAACCTTTGTGGCCAGGGTGTGACAAAGTATCTCCTAGAATTTCAAATGCAACATGTACCCAGTGACAGAAATAGATCTCCTGGGGGATGGTAAATGGGGACAGCTTTCTTATCATCTTGGCAAGAATCATTAGTGAGTTGGATATGTATTTATACTTGGTTGGAATTAAGAGTGTTTGTCTCTCAGCAGGAGACCAATCAGACAATGAAAGAAACTGAAATAAGTCTCCAATATGAGCTTGGAGTTTGTCCTTAAATGATGATCTATGACTCATGTAGGCGTGTGGAATTTCAGTGCCAGTTTCCTTTACAAGATTGCAGTAATGATGCTGTACCTCAGATGGCTGCATGCTGAAGCTCACTTTCAAACCAACGCATATCAGTAATTTTGGTGCCCTCATTCTGCTTCATCATCAACTTCATAAACGGGATATAACAAGTTAGATTCAGCAGCTATGAGGTCATTTACTCCAGCTAAATGAACACTCATTTTGTGGTCAAATACACCTGCCCTCATTATCGGTTCACCCATCTTGAATGTAGTTACAGAGATGAGTATTTGTTTATGGTGCATGTTTTGACAAGGCATGCAACATCTCCAGTTCATAGGTTTCACAAAACTGGAGTGTCTTGTATTACGGACATTGATTGTTTTTATTGGGAAAACTACAGCTTGCCACATGTGATAAATCAGTTGCAGATACTCTTGTGTTCTGTAACCTCTGGATTTTGCCTTTGTCAGTGTATTGGGCATAGAAATTTCTGTGCCACACAACTGATACTACCTGTTCTGAATGAATGATGGACTCAGTTCTGTCAATGGCCTAACCGTATATGACATTGTGTAGTTTCTTTCTAATGGCTGTTGCCTCCCTTATTCTATGCAATCCTTGTTCACTGACTTCATGCCCATCTTCTCTGTGTTATTTGTCAAGAATCAAGTACAGACTGTAGGAAACTAGGGTTGATCTGTTGAGACTTACTACCAGTTTCATTACTACCAGTTTATCTTCAGCTGTAACCAATATGAGTGTCATAAACCACCACCTCAGCTAACTACTGTTGCTTTGTTTGTAAAAAAAATACAATTGCCAGAACTTCTATCTTAATTCTGGTCAAACTACAAAGCATTACATACTATACAACAAATACTAAGCTTGCAAGAAATTGAGAAAATGATTTCACTTTTTATGGGAAAATAACTTCTGTGTATGATTAACTTATTTCTAATATGATATACAGATGACTCAAAGCTATAAAAAGCTGAATATTAGGGTGCAATAGGTGTTAAAACCATGATTTGTGTCTTCTCCTTTCTCTTCTTAATAGACTGAGAAGTACAGTTTGATTTCAATGATAAGATCATGCACAAACCATTGGTATATCAAACATTTCTGGTGAATTTTGATGGCCATATATATCTGCAGGTTTGAGGGTCTAAACATCAAAATTCAACTTGGTAGCAGCCATTTTCAAAATCAACAGACTCAAATGTTGTTAGAAAAAGTGGTTAACTTTTCATCTCTTCTAGAGGATTGATTCTGAGATTTCTGTCTAGTCTACTAAGCCGCCTGATAGGCTGGAGTGGTAGCTGCTGAACCTCTGCACCACCTAGAGGGCTGAAGTTGCTGGTTACTGGTACAAGCTCCACAACTGCACTTAGGGTTTGATCCTGCTGCCATTCCAATCAATGGAAGAACCCCCATTGATTTGAATAGTGCAGGATCAAGCCATTAATTTTCCTATACGCCTGACAATTTTATCCACTGGTTATTCTATTACCATTGAGAATATATATTCCAATACAGACACTCTTCTTCAGAGAGATCTTTGGGCTATTAAATTAGCGGTCTTGATTCAAATCTAAAATTAGTTTTTTTTTTAATCTATATCTATTAGAACATATACCACCAATTTAAAGTATGATAAAAAGTTTGCAGATGGTAAACTTTCAAGTGAAAGAGTAACCAGAACTGATTTGGATACCCCTATGGTTATTTTTACTAATTTAATTAAAGAAAATTGAGTATCAGGAAATATTTTGTTTTAAATTAAAGATTTCTGTCTGGTCAAAGAAAGGATTCATGAGATTAAGTCCTTAAAACAGATATAGGACCTATTGAAACTCTGTCTGGAAATTAAATTTGAGTTCCTATTTAGGTAACAACACTTGGAATGTCTTGTATTACAGGAAGAGGAAATGAACCTATGAAATTTTGTAGATTTAATTGTGTTATGTCTTTATAGGACACAAAGTTTTAAAAAAAATAATTATAACTAAATGTAAATAGCATATCATTAAGTTGTCATAAATTTGGAATGATCAGATATTTTATTATGAAAATCAACTTTTGATATTGGACAAAGTCTATAAAATATTGGTTTGGTATTACCAACTAATTACTGCTATTTTAGTAAAATAATAGGTATAATTCAATTCGTATTTTTCCCACCATATTCCAGCTAGATCAACTGGAAACCTAGGCATTATGGTCTAGAATCTGTGAATTCATTTAAGCTTCTTTTCTGAAAGTTTATCAAGAACTTATCATGAAGTTTGAAAAAGTTAAGGTTCCGTTAGCAATGTTATCTTGCTCACACTGGGCATAAGTAATGTCTGTAGCAAATGCCATTTTCTTTTTATTAACTGTATTGTGTTCTTTTATGTATTATGGCAGGTGACCTCTCTTTCTCAGAGGGGTTTCAGAAGGCCCAAAATGCAACAAAATTATTTTGATTACATTGTGCAGGAGGTGAGCCATTGAGAGGTCATGCAAAAGTAGTAGGACATCCAGTCCTTCACAGAACTGAGCTCTGCAGCAGTGCTCTGCATGAAGGCAAAGAACATGGTAATGATGAAGGTGAAGCTGAAGGATTTCTGACAACATGGCCTGTAAATCCTGTACATAGACTCACTATTCCTGCTCACGCTTTGCAATATTGGCCATGCAACTGATATAAGGTGGTGGTGATGATGACAATTGTGATTCTTTTCTTCATTTCCATGTTGTTATGGATGTTTAAACAGGCTGTGGACTTTTTGAGTTTCACCCATAGCTAGACAACTGTTCAGGGCAGGGATCTGGTTCTTGGTTAGCATATTCTATTAATTAAACATTATATACATTTACAGCACTATATAAACAATATTTTGGATTAGACTGTTAAAATTAAGTTTTCATGTACAGTGGCCAAAACCTTCAGAAACACTTAAGTCCCACTGAATCATTTAAGTACTTTTGAAAATATGGGATGTTCAGTGTGTCACCTTAAAATCATGGAAGGATATTTTTTATACTGGAGGCTAAATCCAAACCCCTCTAAGACTATTAAATTAAATTAATGGAGATATCCTATCTCCTAGAACTGGAAGGGACCTAGAAAGGTTATTGAGTCCAGCCCCCTGCCTTCACTAGCAGGACCAAGTACTGTTTTTGCCCTGCCCCCTCAAGGATTGAACTCACAACCCTGGGTTTAGCTCAAACACTGAGCTATCCCTCCCCCCTTGTGTCAGCATTTTTCTAAACAATCAAAAGGTAAGCTGGAACTCCATGCAGATTTCTGCGGCCAGCAGATAGGACACATTCCCACACCCCTGAAATATCTTGGTGTGACATTAGACTGAAGCTTCACATGCCAACAGTATCTGAAAAATATTCATGACAAAATAAAAATGTGTGTAAATCTCATCCAGAAACTAGCAGGAATGACCTGGAGAGCTGATGCAAAAACTCTATGCTTCTCTTCACCAGTCCTTGTCTACTCTACAGAGAATACTGCTAACCAATCTGGATACACCACTCCTACACATCACTTGTCCATTCTCAATTTAACACCATCGTGTAGATTATTACAGGCACAGTGAAGTCAATGACACAACCATGGCTTCCTGTAGTAGTGCATATCTACCCACCTCAAAATCATTGAAACATGAGAATTATTCAGGAGTACAATTTTATTTAAAGAAACAAGAATCTTCCAATACATGAAGACCTAAATAATATACCAACATTCCAACTCAAATCCAGAAAACCTTTTTGTGGGTTACAGCTCAAGAGCTCAAAGATTTGGGTTGTCCTCCAAAGACTACGGGTAAGCAAGGGAGAAAGATGCCAACAAATAACACCTCAGCAAGGACTCAACCAAAGAACCCTGTGGCTTTTCACTCCCACAGAAAATATGATTCACATCCACACATCAGATGGCAGATGCACCGACTTTCTCCATAAAAGGGCACTGAGACACAAGCCTATCTGTGACTGTGGAAATAGACTTCAAACTATGGAACTCCTTGTTAATCAATGTCCCAATCATATCCCAGCGGTATCTCTGAAGTCCACTCTGGCACCTGAAACAATCAATTGGATTGCTGGCCAATTGAAACAATCAATTGGATTACGTGCACATCTAACACTGTATTTTTAAAGCCATACAAAAGTAGAAGTATGTGAGCAAATCCACAGTGGTAAGAGAATTTTAATATTTGCATTTCCTGACTTTATTTAGAACGTATATCTTGAAAACTGCATATTCATATAAATTTATGCAATATATGTTGTTATATGGTATTAGTCGGTCTTTCAGAAGTGAGCAAAAGATTACATGAAGCTAACCATGGTAGGAGACAGAGGATTGCAGAAGAGCATGGGGTGGGAAGAAGGAAGATTAGAATCAAAAGGTATTGATCAAACATATGGTTTTCAGACTTGCTGAATTAAAGCTTAAAATAACACCCTTGTCCGTGCAGAATAATAGTACATAAAAAGGGTACTCACCCTGACTTCATAAATATTATCTGAATAATCCACAGTCTGGCAGACATAGCTGTATCCTCGAGCTCTGGATGCCAAAAATAGCTGAAAATATTAAAATTATATATGAGGGGAAAGAGTCCATACAAATATAATTATTTATTAGTGATTTTAGTGTTATTATAAATTTACTCCAAAAGCAGTATTTTAAATCATATTTATTTACAATACAAAGATGCTATTTTTAAAAGTGGTCAATATTTAGTTTTAACAATGTACTTTTTCATATCTCATGGTGTCAAAACAAGTGGTCCCCTAAATTAAACATAAAATACTCAGAAAAAAATAAACTGAATAGTCTGCAAGATATTTAGAGAACAGAATAAATTACGACCACTTCCACTGTGACCTATAGCCATTCATACATGGATCCTGCCAGCAGAGGGAGCATGTTTCTGAGACTCAAAATCCCTTAATGAAACCTGCAAGAAGAGTAACTTTATGATGGGATATAGGGAGAGAAAATGATTTCTCAGATAGCTGGGCCCTAGATCATTCAGGGCTATAATACTGTAACCAACACTTGGAACTGTACACAGAGGCAAATACAAAACCAGGAAAAAGCAGTGGTATAATGTGTTCATATACACCCCACTTTGAGGCTAACTGCTGCATTCTGTACCAGCGGAAGCTTCCAAGTGCTCTGGAAGGGTCATCCCAAATAAAGCACTTTGCAATAATTTAGCCTGCAGGAGATAAAGGTTTCAATCACTGTGATGAGTTCTCATCAGAAGGAGGGGCCACAGCCTCTTGGTCAACTTTACAAGGTGTGTCATGCTGCCTCCCTCCCCCGCCATGTCTCCAAATCCAAAGACAGCAATGAATCAGGTCCGACTTCTAGGCTGTCAGCCATAATGGCAAAGAGTGGTTATATAGATGACCTCCAGAAGAGAATGCAGCCCCTATTCCAGCCTCTACAGAGCAGTCACTTCTATCTTATTCAGATCAATCTTCAATGAATTTATTGCTCTGTGTCCCCATCTCTGTCAGATACTGGAAGAGGAGAAAAAGAACAGAGTAGCTAACAAAGAGATGATGTAAAGTTGCATGTCATTCAGATACTGATAAATCTGCAGCCCAAGGCATCCAGCTTCACTAGTTGCAGTATATACATGCTGAAAGGGAGAGATGACAAAAACGACCCTTCACAAAAGAGTTAATAGGGAGAGAGAACAATTAAATCAGCACAGTCCACTGAGTCCTCTTACAACTCATTGTAAGGCCAGCCCACTTACTGGTCTGATCCCACCTATGAATTCACATATTGTCAAAATAGGGGTAAGTGGGTAAAATTCTATAGCTTGTGTTATACAGGTCAGACAAGATGATCTAAATAGTCCTTTCTGGCCTTAAAAATCTGTAAGTGTCATAGTCAAAAGGTATCTAAGGCTGTTGATGGATTTAGCCATCAGGAAGGATACCTGGACAGCATTTTGAAGTTTAAATGGTACCTAATGTCTATTGAGTTTACTGGGTAATTTGATTTGTTTCAACTCTATTGGGCATTTCAGGCCAAATTCTGTCATCTGCTATGAAATGCTTGCCTGTGAACTTTGTGATAATTCACAACAGTGGGAATCTTGCATCATGTTGCTAATGTAAGTTAAAATGTCCTTGAATCAGTAAATCACTAAAACATTGTGCTGTCTGAAATCTAAGCTGCATGGCTATAAACCATGCATCTCTGAAAACTTAAGGGGCAAATGTTTATTTCAAATGCTCTTCTCTGATCTGTCTCCAAGATCAATAAAACACGCATTTTGATACTACAAGCCTTTCATTTAGTCCTGCTTAGCACATACTGAATACTTGGGATAATGATCTTAAACTAGAGTAACAAAGTTAAAAGCTTACTACACACAGTATCCCAATTTATTTCTTGCAAAATAAAAGAACTCATAGTATCAACAGTTAATATATATATTAGAATTTGATATGTTAAGAATACATAAATCTGATTCATTTCCTACCTGAATCCAGTCTTTCTGGGGCTATTTGAAATTCCCAGTAGTAGACAAATCTTGAGTAGTCACCTGAGTATACCTATTGCTGTGCAACTGCATCTGCCATGCTAGGAGTGACCTGGATTTAAAACTAATGGACCAGTATGAACTAGTATGAGATCCCCAGAAACTTATTTGAGCAGAATGTTACTCTGCTTACCCATGTCAGGCAATAAGAAAACAAAATGTCAAGGCTCAGACACAAATTTGTAACAAAAAAGTGTTGCAAACATGGAGAAATATAGTTCATTTTTTAATCTTCCAAGGCTATCAGACTCTTCACTATACCGACAATTAAAACCTGGGTTAAACGGCTACATTTTACTTCATCCTTCGGTGTTACTTTATCGCTCTCTGAGCTTGTACCAGTTACTAGTGATAGCTTAACATTAGATAAACACATCAGAGATGTTTCAATGATAGCAGTAGGTAGTGGAACCATTTTTTTTGAAGCTGAACTTGATACACTCTGATCACTTTAAAGATTCTACCACAGGAGCAGAGTAACACATTGAGAGTATCCTGAAATTGGTCTCACTATTCATTAAAAGAATGGAGAAGAGTCTTGAGGATTTTGATTTGCAGCTTCTGCACCAGTGTTCTTCAATGCAAAGTTCACAAGATAAGCAGTGCTTGTGATCATGAATAAACTGACATTAAGTTTTTAATTAGCACTAACATTTCTAAACCTAGTGTTGAAGATGGCCATCTACCTGAAAAAGTGATGTAATGTGACATCAACTACAGAATATATTATTTTTAGATCAACCATCTCTCTTTCCCCCTCTCCAGCATACACTATCTGTATTACAAGTCTTCAGAGAGGACCTTGGAGTTGCCTTCACCTTTCCCACCTTTAGTTGAAGAAATCAAATGTAGTGCTGACACTGAACTGTTTATTCTTTGCAATTAGATGAGACACACACTGAGTCAAATTCTGCTATAACATATATTCTTTGTAATCCTATTGTCTTTAGTGGGTGGTGTAAATAGGAGAGGAATGTGGTCCAGTATGTTCTGAATAATTTAATAGGGAGAGGACTTTCACTGAGGAGTCATGGTTAAAATTCAATCTACTGAAATATGTCTTGACACAAGCAGCTTCCACATAGCCCAACAATGCTGTAAAAGAAGCCCTAGGTCCATATGAAAAAAATAATTGTCGGGAACAATACCACTTCAATGGTGAACACATAAAAATAGATTTTTAAGAGTCCAGTTCCTAAAAGCTGTTAGTTTCAACTGCACAGTTCACTTGTTTAATTCCAGGCTCCTGGCAACAGATCTTGTGCTAGCAAAATCTAAATTCTTCCATCAAGGAGTTAATCTGAAGAAAGATTTTCAGCAAATGAATGAAGATAGTCACAAATTTTAAATCAGCAAAAGGTTTGCTGAACTGATATGAATTGCACTAAAAAGCAGTAAGGAATGTTCTAGTAATCAGAGCATTCAGGTGAACATTTCTCACCTTATAAAGTTGTATGCAAGATAATTCAAGCTTAGGTCACTGAACATGATCCCATTAAGGCCTTGCCCACACAAGGAAATTCACTATCATAACTGTAGTGGAATAAAATATTCTGCGATAGCTATTTCTTAATAACTCCCCTTAGGAATAAAAGTGTCCACACGGGAGCTATTCCAGAATAGCTATTGAGGGGTAACATACTCTGTTTTAGCCATGCTGGTCAATTTACCCAGGTAGACAAGGCCTAAGAAAGGTGAAGTGTAGCAAGCAGCAAGACCAAGTAACTTGGCTATCATAAATCCATGTTTGTGAAATCTCATGTTTTTCAATAGACAACTCCATGAACTGAGTAGGAATACTATTGTAAGATTTTGCCTCGCTGCCCTTAACTAAAAGAAAATATGATTTACCTCTTTTGTTCTCATTCTAAAGATCAAGAAAAGTTTGAATTTCCATTACCTCACTAATATTTTGCAGACATACACTGAAAATACAATCTAATATAATGTAGCTATCCTTCAGTTTCTAACATAATAGCTTGTCTGAGACCTAGCAAAAAAAAATAAAAAGACAGGGTGCCAAATTCTGATTTTAGTTATACTGGTACAAGTCTAGAATAACTCTACTGACTTCCGTTGATATGCTCCAGAACTGGGTAATTGTAAGAAGAATCTGATGCAGGGGCAGACATATCTTCCACTCAAAAAGGATTTTTACCATCAGTGTTAAACAAAGTATTAATAAGTCAAGCTATTCTACATGACTCCTACATATATGTTTTTACAGAATGATGATTCACAAACTCATGATATATACCATTTTCAACAACACCATTACCAAGAGAGCTCTAAAAATCCAATCATCAATGTATTCAGCTTCCAAAACAGGCAGTAAATTTATCCAGAGAATATAAAAATTATACAATTTATCTAACACTGTCAAAGTTGTGAATTCTAACACAATTCAAAAGTTTAAAAATACAATACCAACCTCTTTGAAAATATAGAAGTTAAGTAGAACCATTCCAAAGTTGTAGCTAACCAGCAAGAAGCGCAATTGGAAGGGTTCTCTTCTCCTCATCCACTTGGGACCCAGCCAGACAGTGAGGAGGTAAAGAGTGCTTATAGTCAGTGTTGGAAATGGAGATTGCATCAAGAACCAGTCATCAACACGTTTGTCTGAGGGAAATAAAACATAACAAATTAACTGAAATAAACTACATGTTTTTTCATTAAGCTTACATAAAATATATTCACTGTAATTTTAGGAATCACATTTCTTAAAGTTAAGAACATAAGAACAGCCATATTGGATCAGACCAAAGGTCCATCTAGCCCAGTACTGTCTTCCGACAATGGCCAATGTCAGGTGCCCAAGAGGGAATGAACAGAACAGGAAATCATCAAGTGATCCATCCCATCACCCATTCCCAGCTTCTGGCAAACAGAGGCTAGGGACACCATCCCTGCCCATACTGGCTAATAGCCATTGATGGACCTATTCTTCATGAACTTATCTAGTTCTTTTTTGAACCCTGTTATAGTCTTAGCCTTCACAACATCCTCTGGCAAGGAGTTCCACAGGTTGACTGTGCGTTGTATGAAAAAATACTTCCTTTTGTTTGTTTTAAACCTGCTGTCTATTAATTTTATTTGGTGACCCCCTAGTTCCCGTGTTATGAGGAGTAAATAACACTTCCTTATTTACTTTCTCCATACAAGTCATGATTTTATAGACCTCTATCATATCCCCCCCCCAAGCTGAAAAGTCCCAGTCTTATTAATCTTTCCTCATATGGAAGCTGTTCCATACCTTTTTTGTTGCCCTTTTCTGAACCTTTTCCAATTCCAATATATCTTTTTTGAGATGGGGTGACCAAATCTGCACGCAGTATTCAAGATGTTGGCATGCCATGGATTTATATAGAGGCAATATGATATTTTCTGTCTTATTATCTATCCCTTTCTTAATGACTCCCAACATTGTTAGCTTTTTTGACTGCCACTGCACATTGAGTGGATGTTTTCAGGGAACTATCCACAATGACTCCAAGAGCTCTTTCTTGAGTGATAACAGCCAATTTAGACCCCGTCATTTTGTATGTATAACTGAGATTATGTTTTCCAATGTGCATTACTTTGCATTTATCAACATTGAATTTCATCTGCCATTTTCTTGCCCAGTCACCCAGTTTTGTGAGATCCTTTTGTAGCTCTTCGCAGTGTGCCTGGGACTTAACTACCTTGCGTAGTTTTGTATCATCTGCAAATTTTCCCACCTCACTGTTTACCTTATTTCCAGATCATTTATGAATCTGTTAAATAGGACTGGTCCCAGTACAGACCCCTGGGTAAATCCCTATTTACTCCTTTCCATTCTGAAATCTGACCATTTAGTCCTACCCTTTGTTTCCTATCTTTTAACCAATTACCGATCCATGAGAGTACCTTCCCTCTTACCCCATGACAGCTTACTTTGCTTAAGAGCCTTTGGTGAGGGACCTTGTCAAAGGCTTTCTGAAAATCTAAGTATACTATATCCACTGGATTTCCCCTTGTCCATATGCTTGTTGACCCCCTCAAAGAATTCTAGTAGATTGCTGAGGCATGATTTCCCTTTACAAAAACCATGTTGACTCTTCCTCAACAAATTATATTAATCTATGTGTCTGACGATTTTGTTCTTTACTATACTTTCAACCAGTTTGCCCAGTACTGAAGTCAGGCTTATTGGCCTGTAATTGCTGGGATCACCTCTGGAGACCTTTTTAAAAATTGGAGTCACATTAGCTATCGTCCAATCATCTGGTATAGAAGCTGATTTAAATGACAGATCTCAGGTCTAGAGGTAATGATAAGAGTATTGGAAAACTACTAAATAAAACAGTTTAAAGGGTTGGCTTAGTGAGAGTACCCTGTGCTGCCATGTGGGAGACCAAGGTTTTATTTACAGACTCAGTGAGTCACTCAAGAGCACCATTCCAGAGATCTGAAGTTATATTTAAAGGCCCAGAATTTGCTATATTAAGTCCTGGTTCGGTGTCAAAAAAGCATTGCTAGTCTGAGGACCTCGCAACATCTTTGAGATACAGTAATTAAAGCATGGCTCCACTTTGAAAAATAACCCTGTAAAAAATGGCACCCGTTTAATCAGCAGATCTGCTTTTTATCTGTACTCAGAATTGTATCTAGTTACTTTACATACAAAGAGTAACTTTTTCATTACCATCAGCACAGCTGTAGGAGAGTGAACAGGATTATTTTCTGGCTCATGAACTATCAGTGGTATTGTTAACTGAATTTCAATTACAGGGCCACTTGTGGAATATCATTGTCTTAAAATTTTGCCCTTGGTTACACTTGTGCAACTTCACTGAAAGAAATACAGTTGTACATATGGAACTAAGGGTAAAATTTGGCATGCAGAATCTTTATTACTGGTCATGTTACATAACCCTGAACTAATACATGATCCCAGTTTAAGTTGCAGGGCTGACAGAAAACCCATCTTTTTATTTGTAAATTGTGCAATTCTGATACAGAATCGATGAAAAAAATATAAAACACAACATTTCCATTTGTACAAATTAGAACCATATTTTAGGGTCAGATATCTCAAAACCATCTGGACTTTTAACAAGTTCTGTATAGCAGAATTTACAGGACTGTAGCCTGCAGAAAGGCCAAATCACATGGTGCTGGCGCTTCCTCCCTGCTTCCAGCCACTTTTACAAATGTCCAAGCTCTTCTTTGCAATGAAGAGCTTCGAGGCTAGATAGAAGGATTAAGGAAGAGAAACCAGGCTAACTACATCCACTAGGGGGCTGTTGCTATTGAATAGAAAGAGAAAAGGGAACAGGAGACAGCCTCAAAAACTGGAGTCACTAGCACAGGGGTGGGCAAACTTTTTGGCCACATCGGGGTTCCAAACTGTATGGAGGGCCGGGTAGGGAAGGCTGTGCCTCCCCAAACAGCCTGTCCCGCTCCTGCTCCCCCTCTCCACCCCCTCCCACTTCCCGTCCCCTGACTGCCCCCCTCAGAACCCTCCACCATTCAACTCCCCCCGCTCCTTGTCCCCTGACTGCTCCCTCCCGGGACCCCCTGCCCCCGGGGACCCCACCCCCTATCCAACCCCTCCTATTCTCTGTCCCCTGATTGCCCCGCCCTCTATCCACACCCCTGCCCCCTGACAGGCACCCACAGGACTCCCACGCCTGTCCAACCCCTCATGTCCCCCGTCCCCTGACAGCCCCCCCCCAGAACCTTGGCCCCATCCAACCACCCCCTGCTCCCTGTTCCCTAGACTGCCCCCCAAAACCCCCTGCCCTTATCCAACCCCCCCCGCTCCCCACCCCCTTACCATGCCACTCAGAGCAGCATGTCTGGCAGCCCTGCCCCCACACTGCCCAGCAGGAGCTCGCAGCCCCGCCGCCCAGCGCGCTGGTGGCATGGTGAGCTGAGGCTGCGGGGGAGGGATGACAGCAGGGGAGGAGCCGGGGGCTAGCCTCCCCGGCCAGGAGTTCAAGGGCCGGGCAGGACCGTCTGATGGGCTGGATGTGGCCTGCAGGCCTTAGTTTGACCACCTCGGCACTAGCAGGATTGGTGCTGTTAGAATAAGAGGAGCCAATGGGATAAGGGAACTAGGCAACTTGTGCATGAGAGAGAAGACCCAAGCATCATGGAAGTATGTATAGGGAAAAGAGAAGTGGACCAGGTGGCAGAGAAATATTTACGGTGAACCAGAGAGCAGCCATGCCAACCCTGTGGGGAAAAAAAAACAAAGAAAAAAAAAAAGCAGAAATTGGGCTTGTTTTTGGTTTAATTGGCTTGTGAGTTGCTTGTTGGCTAGTAGCTTGTTGCTTGTTTGGCTTGTAGCTTGTTGCTTCTTTTTGATCGGCTCCCAGCAACCAGGGGTAGGGGGGACAATCAGGGGCAAGGGTGCAGGGGGGAGAGAGTCAGGGGTGCACAGTGGGCCCACCACAGTCCCCAGACTGAACGCCGGGGGGAATCTAGTCACATAGAGTGTTGGGGTTCTTAGGGATTAGCTTGTTTTGAAATGTGATTAGCTTGATTTTTGGCTTATTGTGAAAGTTGGAGTGTTTATTTACCACAAGAAAGTTGGCAACTGTGCCAGAGAGATATAGTGGAACAGACCAGGTGAGAATGGGAGAAAACATGAAGGGCAAGAAGTGACTGTAATTAACATAGTTCTTGGGACAGTATCTCTCTTAAAATATGATCCAACCTGTGACCATGACTGAGAACCATGACTTTACAGTACTCAAAGTCTGGGATACTCAGCACTGCAGCATTTGTTTCCAGCCCTATCAAGATGCTAAATATTTCCCCAGAAATCAAGTTGTGATGATTACCATTTTACCATCCCACCCACACTTCTATTACCATTCAATTTTAGCAACTGCTTTCTCTCTAGCAAATTGAGATAAACAAGTGCAACGCTTATCCCACCAGAAATAACAGAACCTCAGCTTCCCAACAGAATGAAATATTGGCGCAGAGTCTCAACTGTGCTCAGCTTCTGCCAAGCAAAGATAAGATAGTGTCTGCAATGGAACCAATTATGGCTTCTAGATTCTGGAATCAGTTCTGGGCCATCTGAGAGCTGGGAGTAGCCAAGAAGTAGCATGCTCCGGCCACATCACCTTCTCATCTCATACATGGAGGGCTGCCAGGGTGTGGTAACACAGAAACCAAAAGAAATCCAGTTGCTTTGCAGCTTCTTTGCACTGCCTGAGCAGCACAAAGGGTCAAGATTGCATCAGTGAATCTGGCCTTTCATCTCCAGCCAGTGGTTCAAAAGACACTGAATGTCTAATATGCCAGTATTGAAATGGGAGCACAGGGAGACCATTTGAATCCCACCAACTGCCAACATAATAAGCAATTCCTTCTTCTGCATCAAGGGGAACTACAACCCCAAAGGAAATGACAGGAGAAAATGTCTGGCACAGAAAACCTCTGAATCAAATACCATATGTGCAAAGAAACCAGAGTGAAGATAGACAATGCAGGGACCAGGAGAGACATAGCCCACAACTCTAACTCTAAAAGGTGACCAGGCTCTGGTAAGAGTTCCCATTATCATTCCAGGCAGGGAAAAAGTAAAACAAAGCAATCTGCTTTGATGAGCTAATTCTCCCAGTTGTAAATTGGGCATT